GAGAGAATAAATAAGACAGCCCAATATTTAAAAAAATTGTTATTCTTTTACCCCGCATATTTAGCATATTTCGCAACTTTCAGCATATTTCGCAACTTCCCGCAATTTCACCGCATAAGATCACATAAAAACTCTGCATGTTTAATCGCATAATCAAGGATTTTAGCTCGCATAATCAAGGAATTTAGCCCGCATAATCAAGGATTTTTGCCCGCGTTTTTCTGGAGGGTCTACTTTATGAACGTGGACAACAGAGAAACATATTCTTCATGAACAAAGATGGAATTGAAATAAAAAAGGAAAGTGAAACTTATGCTCGTCACCCTCTCCCTCCGGTCCACATTAATACAAATGATCCCAATATGATTGTATGAACTATGAAAAGATCTTAAAATAAATACAAATGTATTTATTACAAATGTTAGTCCTTCACATCTATCACTGTGTACATCACCATTCAAACACCTTTTAAAAGTTGAACAAACCCCACACAGCTCAGTATGAAATGAAATGTTGACTTTATTTGATCATTTCAGTAAAAACTAACGTTCATATTTCTCTTTTTGATTATAATACTGATTAACGTTCAAAACAAACCACTTTGGCAAGTTGCCACATACGTTTTAAAATGCTTAATAAGCACCGTAACTTTCATGATATAATTTCTCGGTCGTAATCGGTTGTTTCCGTGAACGGCCGACTGTTGTGTGACGGCAAATGCTGCGGCTGCAAGGCATTGTGGGGCAGCATTTGCTCCTCTCCTTTCGGTTAGGGAGGTCCAGTGGTTCCTAAGCTAAAGGAGGTTATAAAGGAAGTTTGAAACCTCCTTTCCTTTCATTTGGAGAATTCGAACGGCACTTATCATGGCTGCCACTGAGGGACTTCCGGGTCATTTCACTCCGTTAGGAAGGTTCCTAAGCTAAATGGACTATTCGACTTCAGCCATTGTACGTGATAAGCTAAGGGGCGGGACATCTCTAAGCAGTTGACCAATCACAACAGAGCTTGCCAGCTAACCAATCGGAGCAGACTGGGCTCTGGTTTCAGACAGAGGGTGAAAAGAGGTGCTGCAGCACAGGCAGTATGAGAAAAATAAAAAGCTTTTTGAACATTATAGCATGTAAACATGTCACAGTAGAGGAATACAAATACAAATATGAACCTGAAAATTAGCAAAATAGGGCCCCTTTAAAAAAGTAGCTTCAAAGTAACAGCATCCATAATAGGTAATGACAGTTATGAATTCTTATGACTAATCAAACGATGAAGTCTGTCGACACCGTATCTCTCTACACTTATGAGAGTAATCTGTTTTTAAGTGCATGTAATTGTGGTCTCCCATTAATGATAATATTATATCTGAAATAAATTAGATTTTATTAGTTTGAAAATGATTGTTTTGGGCAAAACAGTATTGCTGGCACAATGTGTGTTAGAGTTACTCACACTCTTTCTCATTGCTTTGAAAATGTGTCGTCAAAATGTGAAACTCTGCTCTGAGAGGTGTCATAGACTTTTATCTCCTGCCATCTTAACAATGTCTTGGCGGAGTTCTGCGTGTTCTCCGTTTCACCAGCTCATGATTCTTGTTCTCTCGTGCACCCACTTTATCACTTTCACTGCCACGTGCCCCGGAAACTGTCTCTGGGTGTAAATCAAGGCCAGACGCTCTTCTTAAGTGAGTGATTCCCTGAGAACACAAAGTGAGGACACACTCCAGGTTCTCCAATTGCTCTGTTATGTCACCACATCTCAAGCTGAGGGAGCCCTTCGCGCTTGTCCAAAGAGAGTGTAGAAACTAAAGAGCCACTTCCCCCTCAGAAGATCAGATTGGGCTTTGCAACGAAGCAGAGCCAACGCGTGTTGTTTACACAGCCCGCACAAGACTTATGACATCAATAAATGGCTCGGCTCCAGCGCTGCTAATTCTACGCATTTAAATCTCTTTGATGTATAACTTGTGGAAGTGTGAAAACTTGTTTGGGTTCGCAGAAATGTCAAAGTAAAGCCAATTGAAATTGGGTTCAAACTACTGATATCAGATGCTCTTTTCATAATGAGTATTTAAGCTGTCTAATAATTGCATACTAGCCTACTACTTAAAAAGCCGTTAACTTGTTTAACAGAATCTATAAATGGGACCTTTTTGGAACGTATGGTGTATTAACAAGTGCAGTTCACACTGACATTGCTTTTATTTTTGAATTTGGACTCTTACATTTGATCTTGTGTATAATATGTTTACAGTATCTTTAGATTCTTAGGTTGTACAACTTACACCACCCAAACAATTGCAGTATGGATAAGGCTTTAACAATCTACATTGGGGCTTCGTTGGGATGACCCCATCATTTCTAAAAACCTGGGTACGACCATTGCAGAGAGAGCAATTATGTCATGGTAAAATAACAATAAGAATGTATATTTATGATGCAAAATACATTTATGCAGCTATACAACATACTGTCTTGCGTTTTGGGGATTCTTTTGTCAGTGTTTGTGAAATTCCAAAACAGAAAAAGTCAAGTGTGAGAACTGGTAGATAAGGGAAACTTAAGGGAAATATAGCCTACGCAATATTAGAATTTGAGTTGTTCATATTTTCCTTAAAAAAGTAGATGAACATTTTTAGGATTCCAATGCACTTCATAGATGGGACTTTCTTTTAAAAGAGCTGTTGTAGAAAATGCTTATGCTAATAAGACAATGAGCGCATTCACTAATTGTCCGTCCCCCCCCCTGCTCAGCGGTGCAACTCTCTCTGGCAGGTTAGCTGGAGCAGTTTGGCATTCTTGGAGCCTCAGAGTATATTTAACCCTGTGGCTCCCCTGCCGGATGGCCCCGCCATATAGGGGCCGGAGCTGGGCAGGCTGGGAATGACTGAGTGCACACGGGCATGAGAAACAGTAGCGGCGACAGGATGATGGATGAGTGTTGAGCAAGATGGAGGAAGTCCACTATCAATGAGAGGGAGACGTGGAGGAAAAGAGAGTTTATCAACATTTTGCTTTTGTTTTATCGACCAGGTGTGGCAGACCATTTTTTTGGCCAGTTTATTGGATGAAAACAGTCTAATAAAAGGTGCATGATAAAGAAATGAAGAGGAATGAACGATGCTGCAGGTTCAGTTGAATTTGATTGGTGACTTTTATCAACTGATGTCCGTTTTCACGAAACTTAAAGTGGCACACACACACCACAGCCCCCTTAAAATGTCCGTCAGAAGCTCTTGGCAGTGTGTATGCAATCTTTAACCAGAAAAACAAGCAGCCATGCGAGAGAATATAGAAATGTGACCTTGCAGACAGAAGTGTCAACATTTCTGAGCATGCCACAGTATGTTCAAGTGTGAGTGTGAGACACACAGACGGACAGAGAGTATGGTATGCATCAGACAGGTGTGTGTGTGTGTGTGTTTCTGTGTGACAGGTGTTTAACTGGAACGGTGCTAAGCTTTAAGTGCTGTCCCCAACCAAGCCCTATTCCTGGGCATACACAGACTCTCTCTCTCTCTCTCCCTCACACACACACACACACACCAAACAGTAATCACCAATATGACGATACAATAATGTTCCTGTACAAAGGTTGAGTGCTTTCCTATAAAGTGGTATCCTTTTATCATCAACAAGGAAACACATACACACACGTTTTGTTTCCCAGAGGGTCATTTCATACGTGACATCCAACTGACCGCTCATTTAGCCCCTCCCTTAAACATAGGTTGACCAATCATAGCTTAGCATCCGTAGCATAACTAGGCACGACAGTTCTGTCTTTGGAGTTCTTCTCTGTGTTAAGTAAGAGAGATACTCACTTAAAATTGCATGAATGTAGCCATCAATTGAGAATTTGAGACCATTAATTGAGTGCTAAACACAGGCATAACTCAGCTTTACCAAATACAAGTCAAGTGGAGACTCAATTTACAACTATTCATGTAGCTAACGTAATTAGCTATGGCTGATGTTTTCTGCCAGTGAAAGTTGACGTTTCAGTTGACAAAACTCAACGTTTGATCGGATAGAAATGAGAATCTGCTTTTGTTGAATTCTGTAAGTATTTGTAAGTATTTTGAGCAGTAAACGAGCCATTGTTATCATCAAACTGCTGAGTGAATATATGGCAGGCATTGCAAAGCATGCGTTCAGTCGTGTAGGTGTAAAGCATTTTTAGAAATTGTGAAAAGCAATTGTGAAACACAAT